GGGGGTTGGTTCACATGAAGGATTTTACTTTTAGCTTTAGGGGTGACTAGATATCTAAATGCAAAAGAGGTTACTGCCAAAGTCGAGCAGTCTTGTTTTCTCACAGTACCTTTTAAAGGCATAATTACAAATGAAGTCGGAAGTATAGTCCGGAAACGTTGCCCCAACCACAATTGAAGTATCTGAATATTCCGACTTCAACAAAATGTCTAGCTCTAGACTAGAGTCTAGAAATTGAATTCGATGTATAAAATGCTTCTTTCCAGTCCTCACAGAATGGCAGAAAAAAATCAATGAAAGATGACGCCTAAATCTCGCAAATAACCAAAAAATCTCGATAATGGAAACCATTCTGAGAAATAGAGGTCAAGATTATTTTCCCGAGCGTTCGGAGAAATAGTCACTTCGAAAGATAAAAGCAAAACTAACAACAAAAAGTAAACATCTTCTCACCCCTTTAATCCTTTAACTTAAAAAAAAAAAAAAAAAAGAAAACAAACCACACAACATTTTTATTTTAATGAGTCCTACGTCAGTCCTAAGCCTGAGACCCTCTCCATTTGGGATCTCATCAGAAGTAAATGGTTTGTTTTCTTCATCTTGATCAGTCCTGTGTATGACGGCCACCTGTCTTTATATTATTCAGCCACTTTTCTCCTCGACAATGCGTGGCCGTCTTCTTTACATGAGGTTTATAGAGGTAAGTTTCACTTGGTGGGATGGTCAAACCCCTGCCTGATTTGCCTTCTACTTTTCAAATAAAAGTGTTCCCACACAAAAAAACAATAGCAGTATGCACATGACATGGTATGATGACTTGGTGGTGGGTGGGTGGTGTGTTGTGTGGAGTGTCACCAGTGTCAGAAGTGTGTGTGTGGGGGGGTGGGTAGATTCGCATAAATGTCAAAATGTTCTGATGAGGACACAAATAAAACTGTTTACAATGAGTCTGGGTCAAAGGGTTAGGTCTGAAAAACCCATGCTTTGTGAAAATTCAGAGCTCAATAAAATAAGTGTAGATCTAGCATGAGATCACATGACTGACGTACTGTACTGTACTGCCAGTGTTGTTTTTAACCCTCCCCACACCCCCTTCTGCTCAAAAACAAAAATAATTTGCCTAATAACCCAAGGGGAATAAAATCATCAATTGCAGACACATAAAAATAGCGTAACAGCCTGTATACTATTCCCAACACGAATCACTGGGCAACAAAACCCAAGAAAAGCACAAAATAGAAAGTTCAATGTGTAGAGTGTACCATTTTGAGGGGTCCTCCTACTCCGACATCAACAGGAATAATGTCCACAAGATCTCATGATGAGCGTGACTATATCTACGGAATATTTTTTAATTTATATTTTACAAAACGACTTTTGCTTGTACAAAATGACTTTAACATAATTTGTTTTATCGAAATTATTTTAATTGTAAAAATAATTTAGAATTAAATAAATCAAGTGAACACGGCTAAACATACGTACACGTTAATCAGTGGTAATGGCTATAGTGACGTAAACATTAGGAATTCTTTTTTCGACTATACGTCAAGGAGTTTAGAACTACTTTTAATCTCCTTGTTGTAGGCCCAAAGATTCTCTACTACACAATCTTTGCAAGGCCTGCAAAAAAGTGCCATTTCAGAATGGTGTTTGAACTGACAAGACACAATTTTTTGTTGAATGTGTGTGTGTGGGGGGAGGGGGGGTCCTAGATACGCTTAATTTTATTTGCCTATTTTACTTCCGATTTTTTAAAGCTGGTTTTGAAATTAAAAAATTAAGTAGTAAGGAAAAAAAATCCTTCAAAGCAACACGAGAGTGTTCTAAAATGATCAAATAGCGCTTGTACAGCGCAAATTCCCACAAAAACAAGCTCTATATTCGTTTTACTATCTATTTTTACCTCAGCAGACCTGATAGCATTCTGAAACAATTTCAACTTTCTTGGAAGCATTATGCGAGCCGCTATTAATTGTAGGCACCAAAACTAATGTCGGTTATTTTGGTTTATTATCCCCTTTGACGATGAAATAATATTAATAGGTGATCAATAATGTCAAGAGACCAAGAAAGGACGGTAGCGGTTAGTGAGAAGAAAGGATTAAGAGTGACAAAAAGTTTTAGGAACTGGTCGTGAGACTAAGAGGAACAGCAGTCACAGAGTCGAACTTATTGTCGACCATGAAAAACTGTTGCAATGTCATATAGAAGAAGCAGGGTGTGTGTGCGT